TTTGTGATAAACTTTCAGTATTGTCCATCATGCTTTCCTATGGACACTGCTCAATTTATTTAAAAAAAAAAAAAAAAAAGTGCTGATGGCTGCCTGGTTTTTACCTCTCAAGCAAGTCCCTCCCTTCAAAAAATGGGGAAAAAAAGGTGAAGGCTCACAGTCTGTGGTGTTGGATCTCAGCAGATAACCTGTATCTGATCCTTTCGTGAGCAGCAGGACTTAGAGCTCATCTTTCTGCATTTCAAAATGGTGTTTTAGCCCCTGTGTATTTTCCAGTCTAGAAATGATGAATCCTCTTGTCTTTTTGGTTGCGCTTCTCTGAATCATGTGCTGTTGAGACCAGCGGCACAGGGTTATCAAAGGAATTTCTTATTCAGAGGCATTAACACTTACATTTTATTTACTTTTAAACTTCATTCCCAACCTTCAGTGAGACAAGGTCCAGTCCTTGAAAGTAATTTCTTTGGTCTGACCTGTTAACTTGTGCTAATGATTGGACTTCTCTAGCCAGGAAGCTGCCGGGCGCGGGCACCTTTCCTTGATGAGTGGAACGACTGGGCTTGTGTGGAAGACCATTCCTTAAAAATAAAGATTTATCTGTGCTATTTTCTTTGCAGAGAGAAATCAAAGTAAATAACTCTTACCGCTGGCTGCTCTGTTAGAAGTTAAGGTTCCTGGTAAAGTATCTACTCTGAATGCCTAAACAGCATTCGCAAAGCAAAATGGCCCTGTTGTGTGGCATAGACATGTTTCTCCAACCAGACACGCTTGTTTATTGAGAGAACTTAGTGAGTCAGGAGCTACAAAACGTTCATTGATGTTGCAGCCTGATGCTTTTTATTTAATAGTCCTTTTGTGGGTGTCTTGGAGAAAACCCTTGTTCCTCCTTACCTCATAAGTATCTACATGCAATTTTTGGTTCGGGGGACTTAAACAATTTTTCTATCTGTTAGCTCTTAAAAAAGTGTACCAACTGTTTTGAAAGAGAGCACTGTAGGTAGAAGATCCCTTCCTCTCGATAGTCACAGGAGAGAGGTGGGTGAATGACGTAGGATGCAGGTGCCTCCCGTGGATTGCTTTTGCATCCGTGAGCTATTTTCTTCCAAACGTTGTTGGTTATCTGAAGTAGGCATGGAGCAGGAAATGTCCTTGCTTCCAGATGAGTTGCTCGAGAAAGTTTCCTCAACACGCAGAAACAGGGAGATGGACCTGCTCATGCGGCTGCGGTGTGAAGTGCATCAAATGGTTGGGTTCACACAATTCTGGCAGGAGGAAAATGGCACGGCTTTGGAAACAAGCAACTGGGAGGTGGGAAAACCTGGCCTCTTCACTTCCATGGACATCTCACCCGACACATGTGATTAGGTGGCTTAAGCTGGTGAAATGCCCTGATGGCTTTGGGAAGGATGGACTGTGGTCACAAGGCTTGGGTTGAGGGGACGTGGGCTGAAGGGGGAGCGTATACAACGAGCCAGGCAATCCCCATGACTAATGCAGCTTTTGTGGAGGAACGTGTGTTTGTGTTGTGTTGTCGAGCAGGAAATGTCAGATGTATGTTTATAGATTAGAGTTACCTTCTAAACTCTGTGGAGGTCTTTACACTGAGTCAAAACAGAAATACTCTCTGTTAAACTGAGATAAGTTGAGTTTCTGTAAAGCTTGTTCTTAATCTTTTACACTCTGACCAATTTTTCTACTGTCCTCGCCCCCTCTTTGAATTTTGGATATTGCCTAGATAGGACAGCTACAGCATCACCAGAACAGCGAGTTTGTTTGATACTGGCACTTGTCGTATCTGAAACCGGCTCGCAGCCAGCTTGCCGTGTTTCTCACGCTGAAGTTAGGCAAGTGGCAAGTAGCTCAACCTTTTTCTAGCTAAATAGCATCAATTTCTTGTGCGCCACTGTGATGTTTCTAGGAACATGTATTTACCTGTACGTGAACACGCAACTAAACACCTAGTTATCTGTAATTGCAGTTTGCAAGCTATCCTTCAGTCTGTCCTTGATAGCTGTGTATATCCTTTCTTTTTTGTTTGGTTGGGGGGTGGTGGTGGTTGGTGGTGGTTCTTTTGTGTTACGAAAGAAAAAAACAAATATTTTGCCCATTCTGATCAACAGCCAGAGGTAGGGGCGCAGTTATTTGCCTTGTGGATATTTGCTGTTGTTGGGAGACAGACGCTTTGCGGTGGGTTTTGTAGCTTGCTGCAGCTGTACTGCTGTGAGTGATCTTTTTACTACTCTACTTCAGGCAACAGGAAAAAAAGAAAAAAAAAAAAAAAAGCAAGATTTCCTGAAGCAAAATGCTTTGTGTCTTTGCCCTTCAGCTTTGCTGGTGTAATGAAGCCAGCAAGGGGCTTGAATTGTGATGAGGTGAGATGTGACAGGAAAAAAAAAATTATAAATCAGAGCTTTTTTTGTGTATTTACTTTGTGCGTTTGACAGCACTTGGTTTGTTTCCCTGCTATAATTACCCTGCCGGTTCTAGGATTAGGGTGCCAGCGTGACATGGGCCAAGGGCTCGTAGCATGGGTAGTGCCTCTACGGGCAGTGGCACTTCTGCCGGTGGAGCTGGGTTGTGTCCTCAAATAAATCACAGCTGTGTTGGAGGAGAGGAGAGGAATTTCCACGGTTGTATAGCAGCGACATGAGAGACTTTGGCCGGCACAGCTTTCTGCCGGGCGCTTCTTTCCCGGGCCGCTGGCTGATACAATCAGTGGCAAACCTATGGATGCATGGGGGTTGCTTTAAGGCATTGCCTCTTTTTGCTTATATTTGTGTAAGAAAAGCTCCTATGACCTATGAAACTGTAATAAACCTGCAAGCCTTTATTTCTGTTTTTTTCGAGACTGCGTTTTTAATTGATATATCTGTTAGCACCCTTACTGTTGCAAATAAAATCGTTCTTGTCCTCCTTTGTAAGGAATGCGCCAGGGTGGGGAAGATCTGGGGAATATTTTGTTTTGGTTCATGAGCCTGGCTTACGGGATGGACCTTGCTTTCTGTATACTTACTTCTAACTTGCCTATACCTTAAACATTGGACAACATCCAACGTGTAGCAGGAGCTTCTCTGTTAGCTCGATTATTTCTTAATCCTCTGTGGTTTTTGCAAGCTGGGCCTATGAGTTTATTACAAAACGGGAACAGAGTGAAGCTCTGAGAGGTTCTGGCTGTTCAGGAAGTGACTTTTAATGGTAGCAGGCATGAAACCCTTTAGCTGTAACTACTCATGCTGTTGAAGAAATGTTTGTAAAGCATTATAAATAGTGTTTTTTCCATGTTTCAAATCTATTTGTTTCACTTTCCTTTCAGCTGTCAACACTTCAGATTGTAGCTGAAATGCCTTATTCTTTTAAGACATCTCCGTTTCTTGCAAAGTACCTCGTCTGTTCTCATTAGTAGCTCCGTGACAGTCCCATAGTTAAAGTGTGAAGTAGATTCTCAGGGTATTTGAAGAAAAAAATGCCAGCAAACTCCTGTTATATCCAAAGTGTTTGTAGCAATCTGCAGCAAGGTTTATCCAAGGTTTGCAGCAAGGTTCTTCAGTTCTGTTGGTGTGGTTCAACAGAGCAGAAATTTTGAGGCAAATTTAGTTAAATCTGTCTGGGTGCATACCTCATTAAATACATGAATCATCTAATTTAGGGCTTTTAAATAACACAATCTATTTCAGTATAGGGAAATACCTCTTGTGGACACCTGTGCATTAAAGATCTCTGCAGGTGCTGGAGGTTTGAGGAATCGATAGGAGTTTTGGGCTGGTTTTGCTAAAGCTAGGGATAGCGTACTTTCTAATGATAGCGCTTTACGTTTAAGAATTAATGCAAAAATAACTTGAGTAATGTATGTGTCTGAATCCTTCACGCAGTTTGAAGAACCTAGAGAGGATGGGAGCATTAGTACTCTAGTTCAGAGACTGTTTGCAAATGCTAGTTTGGTTATTCAGCCTTCAGTGGCTGGGAAATTGCAGAACCCTGATATCTGAATTAGCTGGTTTAGTCCCAAATACATACTTCAAGTATTATTTTGAATTTGATTTTTTTGGGGGGGGGGGGATCAGCTACAAAAAATTCAGGGTATTTAATAATTTAATCCAGAAGATCCAGATAGCCAGTTGTGGCGATGGGTTCTAGGCATTCCGCTTTCTTGTGACATCTCAGGAATCCAAAATTCTGCAGGAGTATCACTTCAGCTGGTGTCACTGGCCTTGTGTTGGCCAACAAGCTACTGTCAAGCACTGAACGAGGTTTTTAAGTAGAAAGTAGGCTCGTAAATTGACTTTCTGGCTCCTGCTTGACCAGCAGGGAAGTTCTTAGTACGTGCAGGCGATTGCTTGTTTTCACTGCTTTGCATAGTGTTTTTCTCGGTTCCTGAAGAAGTGAAACAGTTTACAAGTCTTACGAGTTCCATTCATTAGACCATATTGGGAGATGGTAAAAGGCTGTGTAAATGAAGATGCTCGTTAATAGAAGGCAAAGCCCTACTCCCCCATCCAAAATAGAACATGCAGCTCTGATGCGAGACGTGAGGGAATTGAATCGGAAGAAGTTTCCTTTAACTCAGTAATGATCATATGGGGTCGAACACAACTCAGATTATAGTTTCACTCTCTCTTTTTAACATCGGTCATTTCTCTCCTTTCCTTTGAGCCTGTGGGGATTAGTTATGCTGCACGGCAAAAAGTGAGGGACAGACTTGAAAGTGAAGTGGGGTTCCAGAGTTGTGTTGGTTGTTTTTTTTTTTTGTTTGTTTTTTTCCCCCAGCACTGCTGTCCTGAATTGTGTAAGGCAAATGGAAATCCCTTTAAAAATTGCTCAAGTAAATATATCTATCTGTGAACAAGTCCTGTTTTGCATTATGTTTCAGATAATTGGTGAGGAAAGAGCAGTGGTGGCGTGCCTCTAAAAACTGTGTGCTTAATGGAATTAAACCACATTCTAGTCTTAGTGTTTAAGATGATGTAACTTGAATACTAATTTTATGTTTTGTTTCTTTTAAGCAAATGGTTATGAGCCTTCGAGTTTCTGAACTGCAAGTACTTCTGGGTTACGCGGGGAGGAACAAGCACGGACGAAAACACGAACTTCTCACAAAAGCACTGCATTTGTTAAAGGCTGGCTGCAGTCCTGCTGTACAAATGAAAATCAAAGAACTCTATAGGCGAAGGTTCCCTCAGAAAATCATGACACCTGCAGACTTATCTATCCCCAGCGTACACTCGAGCTCCATGTCAGCAACGTTGTCTCCGTCTACCATTCCACAGCTCGGTTACGACAGCCACCCTGCCACGTCACCATTGCTTCCCGTTTCGCTTCTGGGACCTAAACATGAACTGGAACTCCCCCATCTTACGTCTGCGCTCCACCCTGTCCATCCTGACATAAAACTTCAGAAATTACCTTTTTATGACTTGTTGGATGAGCTGATAAAACCTACCAGCCTAGGTAAGGTTGCAAATGTGGTAATAATATTTGAAGTCGTTTGGTTTTGGTTGGGTGGTTTGGTGTTTTGTTTTTTTTTTTTAAGTAGTAATGGATGAATTCAGCTGCTAATGCAGTAACTGGTTAAATATTGCATCACGCCAGTGTTTAGAGAATTGCTATTTTTGGTAACTTTTGGAACAGATTGTTCTACATGGAGAGACATCTTACGTAACACTCATTAGTTGCTTTAGCTGAGCCACTAAATATGGTTCAAAGATCCGTTATACTGAAGGGGTGGGTTTGACAAGAAACAAACTAAACCTTAGAAAAAGGAAAAAAAAAAACCCTGCTTTCAGTAGTTCTTATGAAACATAGAGATTAATTATTTTTAAAAAAACAAAACAACAAAACAAAAATACTCCTGAATCCATCAAGCCCACAAAATCTTGTCATCTGTGCTGGGAAAGAATGCCAGGCTAGGTATTTGCTGTGATCCATTGCAGCCTGAACGTCTGAGTCTAGGAAGACATGTGGCTCTTCAGCAGTTGTGGCTACTTTTCTTTAAACTGTCTTTTGTATTAAGGTTTAAATCACTTGTGTAGCTGCTGGGAATAACCTGATGCTTACAGAGCATTATATAACAATGTGTGATTTTTTTTTTTATTTTTTTTATTTTTTTTTCCTGGCTCTGACTCCACGTAGCACTTAACAGCAGGGTTAACTTTTAATACTCTGAAATACTGCTTAAATACAATAGTCCTGTTGATTTCTGGAGGGGCTGCTTGCATGTTGGAACCTTCTGCTGTCTTGAAACCCTGGAAAAGATTCACTGTGAGAATAGCTCGTAGGAGGAGGAGATTTGTGATAGTAGATATGGGAATATGGTGAGTGAGTGAAAAAAATGTCCTGTGCAAAGGAGGTCCCTCGTAGACGAAAATGAGCAGGTACTTTACGTTAACAGCTTGAACAGCTACAGGGATGCAGGAGGCCTGATGTGAGTATGGTGGTGGCCCTCTGCAGATTTCTGAAGTATGTTGCGCAGTTGTTTGCATATTTTTTGTTTTAATGGTTATAACTGAGACACTGAGGGGAAAACCAGATAGCTTTTGATAATCTCATCTTCTGGTTCAGGTCTTTTAAGAGGTATACTGTATCTATTTAGCTTTAATCTAAACCCTAATTGATTAATAACCATTCCAGGCAATGCTGGTGGTACAGGATAATTAGGTACTCAGTATGTGTCTCATCACTTTTATGTTTTAAGTACTTAAAAATAATGCTATAATTTCAGTAAGACATTCCAGTGCAGGAATTATGGTATGCGTTTATTCCTAGATGTGGTAAGAACACTTTGCTGTCAGCTCCGTGTCTGACAGAGCGGCCCCAAATGAAGAGATCATAATTCACGCTCTGTCATGTCTTATTGCTGGAGGAGTTTATATACAATAGGATATTTTCTCCCTTGTGTGGACTCGGAGTGTCAGGATAAGAAAATGGAAGTGGGTGAAATTCCAACCAAAATACCTTTTTTAAAGCAATTCCTGTCCTTTCAGTTAACTTAAGGGTATGCTTGGGGTTCTTGTTCTGCCTGTGAATCCTGTCTGCAGATGTCTGTCTGTTTGTCTAAAGCAATACTATTAAAAAGCTTTTTTCTTGTGCTTTTGGGGGAAGAGAGCGCTTCAGTGTCCGTGCATATGAGAAATGACTGGTTGTTTCCTTTTGTACTGGAATGTAATGTTGCTACAGATTGTAAAATTGTGAACTATAAATGTTATGAAGGTATTCTAGAGTAATAAATACATGTATGTTAATGAAAAAACCTATTGGATTAATAACCAGTGATAGGCAGCTTTATACACTTTCAGAACAACTTGGAGCAATTTTGCGGACAGCTTAGGTGTTTTAAATGCAAGCATGGAGCAGACTTGTATTAATTTTCTCCCTTTATACAGTTACCGATACTCTAACTAAAAAGTCTTAAATGATTTCTTGAATATTTGCCCTAGATGGTTTGGGCATCTTTCTCGCTGCTGCAAACAATGTGGGTTTCCTCAAATTTCTAGGTTCCCTGGCTTTGTTTTCAAATGGCAGATATGTATCACAAACACTCAGAACTTCTCCTTGGCATCTGGCCAGCATTTCAGCATCTCCCGCTTGCTTTTTCCCATCAGACTCCTCATGGAGTAGGGATAAGAAACTGTTGAATTTACTCTGTTTCTCTCCACCACAAGAACGAACTGATGACCTGACGTGGAGTTTTGAATAATTATCTTTCTGCTTAAAATGGAACCTACTGGAATAGGAAAAAATGGGGTGGGGGGGAGAATGAGTGCGATCTCCGCTGATTTGAGGATCTTTACATTCTTCTGAAATAAGTCATTACCTAAAGGTTGGGCAGAGCACGTCTTTGGATGCCATTGTCCTTGATCTTTCCCAAGTCAAGGTGGGATTGCTTGGAAAGTTTGCTGTCGTCATTTTCTATCCCATCAAGATGTGATTATTAATTTGAAAAACAATAATTTGACAAAGCCTCGGGGAAGGGAGTTGCACAGCAGGGCACTTGAACATGCGTTCTGTACCCAAATATTTTACGTAGGTGGGTAGCACACAAGCTAATGTGAATAACATAAGGAAATGAAATTTGCTAACTATTATTTTTAATGTCAAGAACAAAAGGAGGAAATGGATGTTACCTTCTTACACTTGCTTCCTCAAAATGTAGCTCCGATCTGTGATTAAAATCCACATGCTGGCTGGGCTGGATTCATGGCAAGGGGGAAATGCAGCGCTTTATCCATCCCTTCTCACCAACAACTGTTGCGGGTCGTTACTTGGGCATGGCTGGCTGAAGCATGCATGGCCAGCTAAGGGTAGAAAGCTGTTGGCAGACTTTTTTAAATTTTTTCTGGCTTCGAGCAGCCCGTACAACTTGCGGCAGTGAGTAGGATGCTTGCAGAAGAGCAGACTCGCCTAGCTAGTTGAACTCGTAAACTCAGCCGGTGCTACCTCAGCCTGCTCTTAATTGAAGAACTGAAAATAGCAGGTAGGCCCCGCTGACGGTGGGACTCTGCTCCTGCTGTTACTCTGCTCAGATAGCGGAGTCTCTCGCTTCCTTCCGAGCATTTCAAGTACACGACTCCTGCGTAGCTCTTTCACAGCCGCATGGCTAACACCGACAATTACGGTTACGCTGGCTGTGCTGTCGGGGGATGTCGGCATTTTCCTTACTCCCGAGAAGGCTGTCAGTGGGCTTGTTTATCTGAGACGAAGAGATACCTGTCCACGTTCAGTGGAGCTGTCGAATTTGATCCGTATTTTATTAGTCATCCTCACTGCAAAACTGAGAAAGCATCCGCATTGGATGTTTTTGTGCACAAGCCAACTAGGAATGCTCTATATTCTCAAAATGTGGATAAATCATGTACACTGAGCTCTTGCAGTGCTGGTGAGAAGTCCAAGCGCTCTGCCCCATGGTTAACCACGATTTGATGTGATTATACGACGGGGTTGGGTTTTTTTGGAGGAAAAGCTATCCAGTTAGGCCTTGGTGGAATGTATGCAAGTTGCCTTATTATTGGACTTCTCTGTTGGTTTTTGAATAGGAACTCCTTTAAAGAGGAGCATTTTGGTTGTTAAGTTTCTCAAGAGAAGCTGCAGCTTTCACTTAATTTTTCCCTGTTTTCCGTCCCCAGTGCACAGGCACTGCTAATTGGTTGTTTTTAAAGCATAGGGGCCATTTTCTAAAAGTAACTTCTAACGCACAGATAAGATCTCTTCTGTGCGGTGAAATGTGTTTACTGAGATGAGTAATGAGTACCAAAATTCTGCCAGATTATTATGGACGGGACATTAGATAGTTAAACAACATCTTAAAAATACCTCTTGTTACAGCCTATGTCATTCCTAATTGCTTTAGCTGTGTAGTTGTTCCAAAAAAACATTTTAACTAGGTTATGGGTCTTTGCGTACCTGTAAGGGGAAATTAACCTTTTCTTTTCAATTTAAAGGATTAAAGTGGCTGTGGGCTATGCTACTCGTTTAAAAGCTGTCTGAATGGCATATAGCTTTTAAAAGACACATACATATATTTGTAGGTATGTTTTAAAAAGATATATTTGTAGGTGTCTTTCTTTTAAAAGATACTACAATGTATTTGCTGCACTGCAGGTTTAAGGGATGTGGAACACAACATTGAAAGTCAGATCTGAGCTGTGGAAATCAGGATTTTTACCTGGAAGGAAGGGACAAACATCAGGCTTTTGGGGGAGTCAGAGGATCACCTACAGAAAGCACCGTACGCTGCCTGCCAGGCTGCAGCTAAGGGCTCCATCGGGTGAAAGGAGCTGCTGAGGGCTCTACTGAAGCTTGTCTTGATTTGCTTAGGTCTTACTTTAATTTCTTAATCTGTGGACACTTAATAGCAGGGTTTCTCCAATAAGCAGAATTTCACCCCTGGTGCCTGCCCTCAAGAATTATGTGCTCCCTAACCAGCGGTCCTGCTTCTGACTTGCGTTTCCCTTGAAATTTCCTTTTTGACTGTGATTGATCATGGTTACTTGGACATGCTGCCTTCTTGAAGACACGTCTTGCAACTGATCTGACTGAAATCTTCAGGGTGACTGTAGTTCAAGATACAGCTATTAAACAATTAAACAATTCAGTGCACTTGGAAATCTAGGTTGGAAACGATAAAAGTTTTGTTTGGCAAGTATTTCTCCCTTTCGTATATCAGCAAGCTGATCTGTTGCTCTGTGCAGTCAGTATCATGGTTTATATGAAAGTCACGCTTTTACTGTCTTCTGTGTTTGTTATTTTTTTAAATGTACTTTGTGGGAGGAAGTTCAACAAAACACTATATTCTCAACTCGGGCTTGAGCTTTCTGACTTCCGGCTCTACAGCTTTTAATTGCACAAGACTAAGCTGAAATATTAGTGCTCTCTTGTTCATGTGCTGTAGCTGAAGTAGAATTGCAGTCTTTTTTTGGCTTCAACTTGTATTTGCATGTGGTATGCTTCAAGTT